AGCTGGATTATATATTTAAATGATAGAGGCTACTCAGTTCACCTCTGTAAATAGGATCTCTCAGCAAAAGTACTCAATTCGGCTTTCATCCGATTCGTTTCCATATTTACTCTTTCTTGCATTATACTGATCATAAAGTTACTCTTCATCCTGCTCCGTTAGGGTCTTCATAAAAATGTACAAATTGAACAATGGGCTTTCGTCTTAAACAGCCTGCAGTCTCACTTACTTTTGCCTGAAGCTTGTCGTTTGGTAATTTCGAATTAAGTACAGGTGTAGCTGTAACAATCTAATATAAAATTTCTTCAAATGGTAAATCAAAGCCATATATTGCAATAAGCTATCTGACAGCACAAGGTTGGAAGTTTACATTATATTAGATGTAAAGGTGAAGGGAATTTTCCAGTAAATATGACGCACTTAATAAATAGCATTTGGGAAACTGAAACAGTACTATTTCCAAATAATATCAATGAGACCTCCTTAAAACCAAATAGAGACGAAAGTCAAAATTTACCATTACTACCTTCAAACGATAATCCTCCATTCAACCTTTCCAAATAGTATGGATATCCAACTCGTGATTTTTATGTCCTCAGTCAAACACCGAATTTGAGGTAAGAGATGAGAGGATTTGGAAATGAGAAACAAAGGTAGTAGAAAAATAAAACAGATTTCCAGTGATGGTTTTTCACTGTTGTTTACGTAATTATGTTTTTTCAAATTTACATTTCAATCCATTTACAATAATTACCAAATCCTAGAGGTAACCTTGTTAAAACCCATCGAATGTCTTGCCTCGATATCGGAGATAACTTTAGTTCAGCTGCCACAACTCCTCATCGCCTATAGCAGGTTGGCCAAATTCTAAAAAAATCCAGGTTTAGCAAATTAAAAATATTAATTTAAAATCATTATAAGTAACAATTATATCTTGCAACTCCCAATAGCTTAAGGCACGATAGTCCAGTCGGAATGGATTTTTCCAAGGCACTGAATGGGTGAAAGTATAAGATTTTGTTCGAAGTTGAAGGAAGTTGTTCGAAGGGATGTCACATTATTGGGACAATAGTTTGTGCGCGTTTTCCAGCTGTTGAACATTATTTAAACTTTAAATGATCAAAAAAAGTGCGAACAAACTTTTTGAGCATAACTTTTACACCGTTAATGCAAATGAAAAAGTTTTATACTTTTCGCAAGTATGGAAAATACAAGATGAGACAAACGAAATTAAAACCGTTCCGCTTGTGTACTCAAAAAACAAAACAAAACGGCGGTTCTAACGTTTTTCACGAAAAATTCTTGATTTTTAAGTTAATGTTTAAACAATTTGCCCTTCAGTAAGTAATCAACTTTTTCTTTATTGTTCAAAGCAGTTTACTTTACGAGTAACATAAACTCTGAGAAGTCTCTACAGCGTCTAAAAAATATATTTAAACTATGCAGCAGGCTTTTTCAATCAGTCAGACTGCTAAGCTTTTAAGTAACAATTTTTTAAATTTAAAATGAAGTTTTCCTACGAATTTTTTTAACTTTCAAAGTTTTAATCCATAATAACATGTCGGAAAAGCAAACAAAAAAAAGAAGGTTGCGGGCATTTTCAAGAAAAGTGGAAATTTTATTAATTTTTCTCTTTTGTTAAAGATAAAGCTCTATCCTTAATATGCTCAGAGACTGTGTCGACATTAAAAGAAAATAACATGAAAAGGTCAAACGATACAAAACATGAACAATAAGAAACTTAACAGGATAACTTCTTATAGATGACTTTAATCAAAACGAAGAAAAACTTAAGAAAACAAGCAGCTAGTTTTTAAAAATCAAGCCATTTTAGCAAATACGGCAGTAAAGGCTAGTTTTAATGTTAATTAAATACTGGTCAAAAAATTTAACCCTTGCGGATGGATCACGGAGAGATGATAAAAGAATATCTGACTGCGATTGCAGTAATAGCATCTCCTGATAAAACTAATATAATTTTAAACATTGTTTTATCAAGATTCACCATTGCAAGAAGAACTGAAGGCTTGTCCGAGAACATGCCAGCGACGCTTCGTGAACGCATTGCAGAGTTCGAATACTGTTCTTTGGCACTTGATGAGAGTTGCGATATTAGCGATATAGCGCAACTGACTAAATTTTTACGGGATTTTGAAACCAAGTTTAATATTAGTGAATAATTATGTTCACTAATTCCCATGCAAGGAACTACAAACGGCAAAGACTTGTACGATCATCTAAAGTCTGTCTTGGAAACATTTTCAAATTTATTAGAAAACATTATTGGTATATCGACAGATGGAGCAGCTCAATATCAAGCATGGAGGGGAGTATTGAGAATTCTTTTTCCAGACATTAAGAAAGCAACAGGAAGGAAAATTCCTTAACCACTGCGTAATTCATCAGGAAAATGTATCCGCGAAAAGAATGAGTTTGCCAAATGTCACAGTTCCAGTAACTAAAGTAATCAATTTTATAGAATAGCGCGTTAAATTACCGTGAATTTAAAGAATTCCTGAAATATTTAGAAACCGAATATGGTGACGCGGTTTTTAAACCGAAGTACTATGGCTTAGTAGAGGTGCATTACTGAAAAGAGTATCGACTTAGAAAGCGAAATACAATTGGTCTTGGATATGAAGGGATTGCCTTATCCTTATTTTGGTCATAAAAAATGTATGTGCGCTTTAGGGTTTCTTATCGACATGACTATGCATCTCAATGATCGTATTGTGGAACTTCAAGGCACAGGACACTTTATTCACAATTTGTATGATAAAACTCAGAGCTTTGAGCGCAAATTAACATTGTGGAAACAGCATCTTTTGCGGAATAATGTGTCTCACTTCTCACATTTAGAAATCGAAAAAGTTAATGGACATTTTAGTCTACGAATTTCAATAACGATTCCAAATGTTCCACGAAAATGTTTTCCTCCCCATTTAATATCTATGTGGATACAGTTCCTGAAAACTTTCAAATGGAAGTGATTGACATGCAAAATAATACCGATTTAAAAAATGTATTTTTCTCAGAAAACATCGAATTTTTGTCTGAATCTATGCAAGCCCTGCGAAATTTCCGTTTTTGCCAAAGAATACAAAGCAAATAATTTTCGGAAGTACGTATGTTTGCGAACGATTATTTTCAACCATTAAGTTGATCAAAAATAACCACCGATCAATACTGAGTGATGCACATTTAGAAAGCTGCGCCCGTGTAGCTTCCTGATCAATTCCGGCAGATATTGATCAGCTTGTATCCTAAAAACAGTGCCAAATTTCTCATTGAAAATTTAAAGTATATTCGTTTTCCTGTTGTTTTTATTTTGCATTACAATTTGTTATGTTTATAATAAATAAAGTTTTGGAAATTATTAAAGTGTTACTTAATGTGTGGCCTGCCAAAAAGCTTTAAAATTAAAATTGGCCGGTTGATTGAAAATATTGCCCTGATATAAACAAATTACAAATACAGTTACAAATTACTGGATTTCAGAACTGTTATTGCTACAGAAGAATGTTGTTGTTGAACGGACCGGATTACCAACGTTGAAGTATTACGAGGGCTTAACTATAAAAAGTGTGAGATAAACGATAAAATCCAGCAAAGGAAACTGGAATACTTGGGTCACATGACACGAAACGAAGATCGGTATAGACTGATGCAGCTCATTCTTCAGAGCAAAATATATGGCCATAGAAGACCAGGACCGAGAAGAAATGTTTGGCTTCAAACCCTCGGACAACGGTTTGCCTTAACCCCTACTAAACTGTTCCGTGCAACAGCCAAAAAAGTTAGAACAGCCTTGCTAGTCACAATCATTCGACCCGGATATACACTACGAGAAACCTAACCGAACTGAAAAAAAAACCACTACCTATTTTAGACTGAGGATGGCGAAAAAATACCGAAACGTATTTCAAGGAAAAAATGAATACACCGAAATAAATGACCGTAACCCTGGAAATATGTTTATGTTAAATACAAAAGTTGTAAATGGTAATTTCCAAATTATTTTAAAATCAAATCATTTTATACAAGGTGTCTCAATCTCAAGTGGCAACCAAACGCTCATTTTTGAAAAGGAATGCCGTACTTTTTATTACAAAATGGAACTATCCAGGGTGATTCAAAATTGGTGTCATTCCTTTTAAGGGGTGATAGAGGATCACTTGGAGAGTACGAGAAAAATATTGAAAAACAATTTTTCAAAAATTTCTAGAAGATATTAACAGTTGAAGATCGAATTTCAACTTTGTTATTAAGCATTATTTCGAAATTGTTCCATGTTTAATTGGTAGCATATTGGAAAACTTAAGCATTCAAAAAGAAAAATTACGATCTTTGCTTCAAATAACGAAAATTTTTTATATCAAAAAAGTGAAAAAACTTCTACAATTTTTTGATAAAAAGGCACAGCGGCAATGATGTTTTTTGTCATTAACAGATATTTACGAGTGGATAGCCCTTGTCAATAAACACAATAATTTGTCAAACTGTGACTTACTTTCAATTTCCCTTCACGAATTTGCGGATATACATTAGTTCAGGGGAAATCCTACAGTAACATAGCAGAACCTGAAAGAACTCACGCCAACAATGGGCGAGGAGAGTGGTTCCAGGAAGATAGTAGACGACAATCGATGTTCGGGTTCCAGGCACAGAGGAACAAGTATTGGACATAACCGAATCAGTCCCTTCCAGGGGCACCTAGAGCACAATAACTGACACTTTCCCAAGTACCAATTAAATATATTATTAAAATATGTATTTAATATTTTCTTTAAATTTTAAATAACATTTGTGGAGGTGGCTCAAATTGAATCAGTAATGTTTATAAACTCAAAAACAATTGAAAATCGATGAAGTACAATTATATCAAATAGGACAAGTATGTTGCTTATAGTTTTAATATGCAACAAAAGAACGATCATCCATGTTTTTTTAAATGTAAGTTCGCTTTAGTTTTGGTTTGCCACTTGAATTTTAGATACCCTGTATCAGTTGATCGTTGCCAAACCATTCAAAATTGAATTGTGTTCTATAGTTAATACTTCAGACAATAGTTGCAGATTATTGATGTAAATATTTACCAGAGAGATTTGCGTAAAATCGCAGTTTTGATGCAGAGTGATTAATGCCGACGGTGCATTAGAAGTTTTCCAACTTGAAGTGGTTGTAGAAATTTCAACTTTTGTTTCCGGTCATAACGAGTCGTCCTAAAAACATTTGAAATACATTTAGTCTTCTAGCTATACAGGGTGTTCGACAACTATATCCAAACTTTCTCATTTTATTGCATACCCGTAATTTCTTTAACACGGTTGGCTTGGCCTTCCATTTGCGCGTTTGAGTGACGCTAGTTTTGTTAACTTAACTCTTATAGTTTTTGATAAATGCAAATTGATTATGAAAAAAATGCCATTGCAGATGTTTACGGAACAAGTTATATCTAAGGAACAGTTTTCAATTCAATTAATTAGCTGAAAACCCAAGGTAACTACGCAGATGACATCAGGGTACCCATTTTGTGGGTACCCATTGACACGAAAAATATCAAAAAATCAGTTTTTAAATGGCACGTAATAACATTTTTTGTCCCTAAGCTTAAAACTAAGCCCTTTTGTAATAGATAATTTTACACAAAATTATCATTATTTTTAATACCGAGTAAGATAAATTTTCAAAAATGAAGGTTTCCATTTAAAAAAATATATTTTGGGTGGTTTATAGTAACATAGCAAAAGCTGTAGGTTTTCTCAAAGCCATTTTGAAACTTTTTTTTTAGACTTTGTATTAATAGTCATCAAACCTTTCAAAGTTTGGAATCGAAATTCGATTATTCGTAAGTTCTTCTCAACAAAAAATGCCACTCAAATTAAGTAGAGACTATTCCCTATAACCTAAATTCTCTTATAGGAAAAACGAATAGTTATTCGAGTGGTTGCAACTGTAATTTTTAACATAAAATTTCAAAAATATGAAAACCGGTTAGACTTAGGTCTAGGATATTGTACTCTAAATTTATTCCGAATTTGGAACTGAATTCAAAAATGTAGTAATATGTAGGGTGTTCCATTTAAAATAAGCAAGTTGATACCTACCTCCGGTATAACCGAATGTATGGCCTTTTTGAGGATATTTTCGATCGCTTGCCCCCACTGACTTGGTCATACTGTCCAATTTCCAAATGTCTCCTAACTATAGTTTGTCAGATATCAATCGCGGCGTTTCACGGTGAAACACTTTGTAAAGTGTGAACATTTTTTCATTACAAATTTCTAATCACTTTAATTACTAGAAATTTTATTGAATTTTCGCAAATCTTCGGTGTAATTAGTTTGTTATAATAGACAATTTGGATCTCAACATGCTTTTTGGGTCTCTAACCTTTGGGCTGCTTAACTTAAGATCAGAATAGTGAAAATATTTCCAATATAATCAAATCAACTGAACTAATGATTAAATCCACAAGAATGCAAAACTTACCACTCGGAACGTATACGATCCAAAGCTGGAATTGGTTGCAAGAAATATTGAATTCCCATCGTCCGATAAACACAAACATAGAATTCCTTCCGGACCATCTTTATTTTCTCAAATTTTGCTAACTGTCTGATTTGGGACCAACTTTTCTGGTTTATCCTGTGGTTCCACAACCCTACGGTAAACATAATTACTTTTACTCGGATGATCAGAAAAACCATTTGTCAATTTGCTGTGAACATCTAGAAGAAACAAATTTACAACAACAGATAACTATAAAATAATAAAAAAGATGCTTCAAAATAAAAAAAATTTCTACCGAAGCTATGTGATACAGTTAAATGCATTGGATTGGACTAAGAGCTTCAATCCTTCATCAAGTGAAATTTTTTAAGCTTGCGAGTTTTCACCTACTTCATAAAACAACAACCACTTTATCATTTGTGTGATTTTTTGCATATCAAAGCAACGTGTTTTGTTGTAAACTAAAAAATGTTATAAAATATTTATTACTATTAATAATCAAAACTGTTATTAAAATTTATATATTAACACCATATGGTTCGGAAAGTACGCGTTTTTCGAATGTGGTCCCAATCAGTCACATGTGCAAGTACATAAATAATTATACATGTGAAGGTACTCTTAAAAATATAGAAAATTCAAAGTTCACTGAAAAAAATGTTATACAGTCAAGCTTCAATCAGCTACTCAATTTGAGCCAGCCATCGAAAATGTAAAAAGGTCTTAATCAGTCTCAGCTTTCAAAGTTGGCAGCAAAGGTTTAAATGTTCTTTTTACATTAACATTTTACATGAATCAACTCAGTTTTGAAAGTAAAATTAAACGCCCACCTGGATATATTTAGAGCAAAACGGCTTTCCTTGAAAATTAGGGAATCACTAAGAACATATGTAGAAACTAATAAACCCCATAAAATAGAACATCAAGCAAGGCACTAAATATTTCTTCCAATTGCCTCAATATGTGATAAATAAAATCGAAAAATGTTTTCACACGTGTATTAGGCCTTGAAAGCTGGAAAAATAGAAACGTACTGAGTTCTTTAAACATGAAAATTCTTTGCTTATCGGAACCAGATAATATTTTGCTTTTGAGTGGTTTTTATGTTAAATGTATAAATATTTCTTAAAAATTCAGTGTGCAATATTCGAGATATATCCAGAAAAGTTGGCCTAAAGAACATTTTTATTGAACGGATCTAAAATTTATAGGTCATCAGGATTATAATTAATGTTAATTAGCTTTACGGGAATCAAAAATCCCATAGCAAACTTCGATTATATTCAAACCCAACCATAATTAATAAAAATGTAGTATAATTTATAAATGGGCTTCTAGATGTATTGGTTAACTGAAGTTTTAGTTCTTGTACTTAAGCCTGCAGCAAAAATAGTTTTATGTGGAGTTGAAATTAATCGCTTATATTAAAACGTAAAGGACGGTTCAGTTAGTTAAGTTTGAGCAGAAAATGGAGACTCGCTTACCTCAAGCTGAACGTGAGAAACTGAACTGAATTATTAATTATTTTCAAACCCTAAGTGACAGCTGTCAGCATTCGTTTGGCATTTAATTATATTTAAAATGGTCACTTTCATCATGGCAACTAAAAAAGGAGTGGCAGGATTTAAAATGAGATTAGGGCAAAATAGCCATATAAAAACATTAAATTGACAATATTTCGCAAACAAAACAATTTTGAAATGGACAACTTTACACAAAAATACCCTTATTTTAAGTACTAAATAAGATAAAATTATCTAAAACGGAGGTTTCCATTAGAAAAAAAATTGACTTAGGGCGATTTTCTCAACATTTTGAAACCTATTTTTTAACACTTTGAATTAATAGTTATCAAAATTTCGTCTAAATTCCATTAAAGTAAGTCATTTTCTACAAGAAATGCGCCTCAAATTAAGTAGACCATATTCGCTTATAGAAAAAGTGAAAAATAAAGGATACTGTACATGAAATATATTCCTAACTTGCAGTAGAATTAAAAAATGTAATAATATGTAGGGAGATCCATTTAAAATAAGCAAGTTGATAACTACTTCCGGTACAACCGGAAGTGTGGCCATCTAGAAAATTTTTATTATTTTAATTAAATTACTTTAATAATTACGTCAGCCTCGAGGTTGTCTTCTGAATTTTGTACTAGATGTCTTCTTTTCTTTTCAAATAAAATCATACCTTTTTGCTGGTGAATGTAAAACTTACGAAAAACAATTTATATCGTTGGCACCGTGATTTACTGCTGATTCGATTGTAGAAATTCCGACTATTGGATCTTTTTCTTGACTCTTATGGATTTTTTGATCAGGATTACACTCTTTATCTATTTTTTCTAGAACTTCGTGTGAGTGAAATGCTATATTTTATCTTTTAAAATTTGGTATACTATAATGGGTATTTGGTTGAAATTTTGATTATAATGGTTTATCTCACCTGAATGGCTTTGGTTTTTGGGTTAATTTTTCAAGGAAGTGTTAAAAATGTTCTCGTCTACAATTTTTTACTGAAAAGTCGAAGCGGCAATGATGTTTTTTGTCATCAACAGATAGCTACAAGTGGATAGCCCTTGTCAATAATAGCAATAGTCTGTGAAACTGTTTTGACCTTGAAACTTTCAAGCTTTGTGGCCTGCTTGAATTTGTGGATATGCCATTAGTTTTGGAGAAATGCCACAGTAACATAGCAAAAGCTGTAGGAAATCACGCCAACAAAGGGCTAGAGACACTGATAGAGATTGGCTCCAGGAAGATAGTGGACAACAATAGATGTTCGGATTCCAGACCCAGAAGAACAAGTATTGAACATAATTGCAGCAGAGCCTTCCAGGGCACTCAGAGCATTGCGCAACAACTGACACTTTTCCAGCCACCAAATAAATCTCGAGGAAGGGTATTCCTGTCACGTATGTAAAATGAACAGAGCACAACGACACATTATACCCATCGCTTACCGAACACCGGTACCAATTGAGCAGGAGTTAATTAACCGAATACCAGAAGCTGCCAGAAGAAGAGTGGATAATAAGGTGATTACACTGGCACTAACTTGTTTGGAGTTAAAGTCTCAAATGTATGTTTATTTGTAATTGCTAAACAAAGTATTAATTCAAGGTTATGAAGACAATAAGGGACATTTCGAAAAAGTCTGTTTCGGCATTGAATGATTCCTGTTGAATTTACCGATTATCTTTGTCTATTTCATTGCCACTTTCTGTATAATTCCATGGTTACCGGAGTATGGTAAATTACGCAGGTTAACTTGAAAAACATTGTTGCCGTCTTTAGTAACAATTGATTTTTATTACTATTTTTTCTGTACTCCGAAAGCACCGCCAGACAACACCTCCAGAGTATTCTTCTTATAATTCTTTTAAAATATCAAGACCTATGAGACCATCAAAAACATCATAAAATTTAAGGTTTTGTTTTCAAGTATCTTGAATAATTTTGATGCAAGTATATTCACATTGAATTGATGAGTAGTTTGTTGAAATATCGATGCTACAACAAATCGATCATGTTTAATATTGTACCGTGGATGGCCGAGTATCAAACTCTTTCTTCAGCTTACAACTTTTATTCCACTCGGTATCGCTTTAAATACGGAACAGGAACAAACTAACTTCAAAATTACCGTCAACTTCACAAACAATAACAATGACAGTCGGAAAGCTCGCTCTTCCGACTCGCGGGTTTAACCTTCTTCTGCACTCGTCGCTGCTGTCACTTCACTTCCCCGTGTGGTTCTCGTCGTCGCTTATATAATTTCCTCCAGGTAACCCACATGGTTCTCGAAATCTCCAGAACAGGTGCGAAACTTCCCGCTTGTCAGTGTCATATTTGACAGTAAATGGGACCCAAATGGGGCTCCCATTTACTGAAATACCCTGAATTTCGATCCCCCATTCCAAACGTGAGTACCCCAGGCCATTTCCGTTACAATGTTTTCAGAAAAATATTTGTTTGCTAAGTTCATATCAATGAACGATTTTGTTGAACTGCTGATGAAAATTTGGCTTTACAAATTAAGTAGACTGTCTAGCGAAGTATTCATTGTGCCGGTTGGCACATGGCGCATGGTCTAGTTTGATTTGGTCTGAAAACATTTGTATGAGGATTGCTGGGTTTATACGCTTGATAATTTGTTGGATAAGATTGTCGCATTTTGCTACAGTCTGGTCTCATTAATACTGGTTGAGAGGGAAAATTAGGATTGTGTGGAAATTTTTAAGGGCGATAATTGAAAATATATGTATGAGAAAGATTTATGTAAGAGAAAAATGTATGTATGAGAAGAATTTTATTGAAAATTATTTTGTGGGTTAGGTTTTAAATGATAATCTCGAATAGACGCTGCGTCTAACCTTGAGAATGGACCAAGTTTTATCCTCGGCGATTGTCTCCCGCAATCTCTAGTAGCGGCCACAAAAGGGCGCTAGTTTGCGCGACTGTTTTAACTTAACCGACTAAATGTTCAGTCCGTGGAAATTCACTATAGGAAGGAAGTTAGTATTGTCCAAGGAGCGGCACTTCACGGCAAGGGTGTCGTAAATATGGTTCYATAAAAGTCAGCCTGGATCAGTAAGGCTGACATAAATCGTCCGTTATTACTATGACCGTGCAAGACAATTTTAGAATTACGTTTTTTGGAAAACGTCTCATTTTAGAGAGATGTGACAAGTACACTTTTTTTAAGTAATTTTGAACGCTCTTTGATTTTTGACGAAAATTTTAATATCTTTCAAAATAATTTTTTTGTTAAATCGTTTAGTCTGAGAGAAAACAACTAGATCGCGGTTTCTGCAGCGATTACAAATTTTTGTGATTTTTCGAAAATAATTAAATGGAACTATACTTTTCATTTGACATGCCCTTACACAAGTTGAAATTACCTACAGTTCAGTGAAAACCACATCGTTACATTTCCGTCGACTTTTTTCTCTTCCAATGAGGCAATTTGAAAATTTCTCGTCTAAATGCTGACATACGTTTCTATTATAATGCGCCGGACAAACATCAAACTAGAACCACATGTTCCTTTTTGTTTGCAAGGAGATTTTTCCAAAAGCGATTGCAAAGAAAGGGCTTAGAAATGCGGAGAACCTTTCTCCATTAAGTGTTTGGTCAAAAAAATGTGGTCCTATAATTTTTCCTTCCACGATTCCGCACCATACGTTCAGACTCCAGCGATTTTGGTGTTCTACTTGCCGCGTCCAAT